GCCTGAGCCATGCCTTGAAACCCAAGCTTTCAAGCGCCTCTTCTGCTCGGGTGACAACATCGGCAGCGACAGAGCGCCGCCAGCCGGAACGGGACCTTCTCCAACCACCTCACACAAAGCTCAATCGTTCGATCAGCATTCGGGCTCCTTCAAAGCAACTAAAAGATCACTCGAACACATGAACCGGAGACATGCAATTGCTGACGGCCCCGACATATATATATATATATGCTAACGGGTGCATTTGCAGGCACCCTCATGCTATACTTTTCGTTGTTTGCGTGCACCCTGCCAGTCATTTGCAGGCAGTTGCAAGTGGACTTCTTGACGAAAACAACGCGTTGTCTTCGTCAGCCTTTTCAGGACTCTTGCTGACTTCATGTCGAATGCCATGAAATCGTAAAGTTCATGCGATCACGCTTGAGAAAGGCTCCGCATTTACCAAAAGTATCTAAAGCGCGCCAAGGGAACCCTTTGTTTGATGAATCCAACATCCCAAAATGGTAGCAAACACGCCCAAGGGAACCCTTTGTTTGATGAATCCAACATCCCCAAATGGTAGGAAACACGCCCAAACGAACCCTTTGTTTGAAAAATCCACCATCCCAAAATGGTAGTAAATACGCCCAAGGGAACCCTTTGATTGATGATTCCAACATCCAAAAATGATAGGAAACACGCCCAAGACAACCCTTTGTTTGATGAATCCAACATCCCAAAATGGTAGTAAATACGCTCAAGAAAACCATTTGTTTGATGAATCCAACATCCCAAATTGGTAGTAAACACGCCCAAGGAAACCATTTGTTTGATGAATCTAACATTCCCAAATGGTATTAAACACGCCCAAGGGATCCCACACTGGTAGTAAACACGCCCACGTGTGCGGCTGCTACCGCCCAGCCTTGCCTAAAAAGGCGCTTTGCAGAAGGTGGAAAAGGCAAGATTTGCGTTTCGCCTACACGAAACGGCGCCTGGAAGTGCGCCCTTCGGGATATATATATATATATATATAAAAATAAATAAATAAATAAATAAATAAATAAATAAATAAATAAATAAATAAAATAAATATGTGTGAGGGACTGCCACAACCTATTGCTTAGCCGTAGTAGGTTTATTGAACGTTATCTGTCAGCTCCGGCTGGAAAGTCGCAGCTTTTCAGTACATGTGTAGTACGCGAAGTACACTCCCGTAGTTTAGGCTGGAAAGTCGCAGCCTTTCAGTACAAGTGTAGTAAGCGAAGTGCACTCCCGTTGCTCCGGCTGGGAAGTTTCAAGAAGGACCTCGCGCGTCCCGAAAGCTGACTTCAAACGCGCCCATCCAATGCAGCAAGGTTTTGGTATCCCTTCCTTTCTTCTCTGCCAATCTCTTGCCCATGGCCTGACATGAAAGAGAAAATGGCGGTCACGTGGACAACTGCCTTCAAAAGCTGAAAAGCCATTCATACTGGGTATCGTTCTGGTATCGTTCTAGGTATCGTTCGGGTCCGGCTCGAGAGTGATAACTTTGTAGATTGTAAGATGCGATGCAAAATGCCGCGCCTTTGTTGCGTGCCCCTCAAACAAGCCCCTGCCAAAAAATCACATGCGTGCGTGGATTAATAATATGTGATATAATATACATGCTGCCACTTACGCAGACCGCTGGTCCAAAACCTCCTTGGCCCCACAAAAAGAAACACCAAAAAGCCCCCAAGCATTCTTGTTTTGACAGAAGAATTTCAAGGTCCCAAGCACTCTCCTCTAGAAGCGCTACCCCCAGTAGTAGCATTCTCTTCCGTACACATGTAAAACCGGTCTTTCTCCAAAGCAACCACCTCTTGCGCGAAGCTGAAGAAGCAAACAGGGGAACAGGGAGCGCCAGTCAAAAATCCGAGACGTGCCTGATTCACCTGCTCTTGAAGAGGCGGCACCAATCCGTTCGAGGCCTCCGCAGCCGTTTGGAACAAACAACGTTGGCCCCGGCAAAGCCGAAAAATGCAAGCCACGTGCCCTGAACACACCGAAAACAACTTTCGGGACAGCAAAATAGCTTTCGGGTATGGTTTGGACGCCCTGGGAAGCTTCAGGCACAATCAAAACAAGGATGCGGGAGATTCAGGCGGTGCCTCCATCCGAACATCCACGGGCGCCAGCTCTGCTTGAGGTGGCTCCTCTAGCTGAAGAGTCGCGGCCTCCGCACTGCCGTTTGGTGGCTGACGGGCAGGAGCTTGAAACAAACAACGTTGGCCCCGGCAAAGCCGAAAAACGCAAGCCACGTGCCCTGAACACACCGAAAACAACTTTCGGGGCAGCAAAATAACTTTCGGGTATGGTTTGGACGCCCTGGGAAGCTTCAGCCACAATCAAAACAAGGATGCGGGAGATTCAGGCGGCGCCTCCATCCGAACATCCACGGGCGCCAGCTCTGCTGCTTGTGGTGGCTCCTCTAGCTGAAGAGTCGCGGCCTCCGCACTGCCGTTTGGTGGCACCTGACGGGCAGGAGCTTGAAACAAACAACGTTGGCCCCGGCAAAGCCGAAAAACGCAAGCCACGTGCCCTGAACACACCGAAAACAACTTTCGGGACAGCAAAATAACTTTCGGGTATGGTCTAGACGCCCGGAAGCAAAATAGGTATGGTCTGGACGCCCTGGGAAGCTTCAGACACAATCAAAACAAGGATGCTGGAGATTCAGGCGGTGCCTCCATCCGAACATCCACGGGCGCCAGCTCTGCTTGAGGTGGCTCCTCTAGCTGAAGAGTCGCGGCCTCCGCACTGCCGTTTGGTGGCACCTGACGGGCAGGAGCTTGAAACAAACAACGTTGGCCCCGGCAAGGCCGAAAAACACGGGCGCCAGCTCTGCTTGTAGTGGCTCCTTGAGCTGCGCTTGACATAAGCAGTTTTCTTGACTGCAAAGTTCCTCCCGGGTATGGTTTAGCCCCTTGGCAAGAGACCCAGTCGGAATTGGTCGAAGGCTTCGAACAACCAAGCTTCAAGCAGTTCCAAGTGCTCCAAAACATCTGAAAGTTATCAGGAGGCCCCCAAACAAAGCAGTGCCAAAGCTGCCGGAGTCCACGAGCAGCAAAGAAGAACGCAACAAACCAAAAGACGGCGCCTTCTGGTTCGCATCCCCGGCCGGCGGCGGCAGCAAGCTAGGACCGTGCACGCGCACCCAGACCACCTGGCCCTTCTTCCGAGGGAGGCTCAGTGGGTCCGAGAGCCGGTGCACCTCTGTGAGCTCCCAGACCCAAGGTTGCTTGTAGTTAATTAGTTCTGGTGGGCAGCAGGTCCGGTGCTGCAGCGCCAGCAATTCTTCCCGGGATACAGGACGCGAGGAGACTACCTTGCAGTACCCATGGAGCTCGCAGCCGGTGGCCAAGCCAATGGGGCCAGCCCATTGTGCGCTCCTCGCACGAATCTCCAAGTCCTTACGGCCAGAGAGTATGTGGTCAAGCCACTCAGGCTTGAGAAGTAGCACCTTCTCCAGTTCACACACTGCATGCTTCTCAGCCAAGGTCAACGGACCCTCTTCCAACGGACGCTTTGTCATGGCGCGTTGGCAAAGCAGGCTTTTCCCCCCGGAGCCCAAAAAATCTTCTAGATGGCAAACCACGCACGCCTCGCCACCAGCAAATGGTCAATGGACTGCGTCAGATATCAAGGCAAGTCAGGAGGGCATCGTTTTAGTATCGTTTGGGACATCGTTCGGCACGCTGCCAAGAACTCCAAACAGGACTTTCCAAACTCTGGCTTCGGACAGCGCCGCTACCCCACGAGCGTAGGTGATCCACACCCTGCTGCGCTGTACATGTCATGCCTCTGTGGTCTTCGCTCTGTTTTCCAGAGACTTCGACCTGAGCATGTCCAGCTTGTCACCGCCAGTCTGACAAATTTCCTGCACACGCTGATGCCCCCAGAGAATGCGGCACCACTTCGTGCACAGCGGGCAGCAAGAGCCCTTTTGACCCGGACTCTCGCTTCGCGAGGTCTGGCAAACGCCGCAACTGACGGCTTTGACCTGCCGTCCCCCAACCTCACCGGCAGCAAGGCGAACTTTCCATCCGCTTTGCGGCAAGCTTTCAGGTGTCTCAGAAGCCTCTGGCGCCTTCCTCTTGGCCGGCGGCGTCGATTGACTGACTGGTTCTGCGGCATCAGCATCTCCAGAACCGCAGCGAGCTTCGTCAGGCTTCCTGGAGCGATAGGGTTGCGCCACAAGTGCCCGGAAACACCAAGCGGACCCAACAAACATGCAACAAGGAAATTGCCAGCAAGTCACTGTGGAGACATGGCTGGGGCATGGAGGGTCACCACGTCACCTCCAGAAGCCGCAGTTTGGCGCTCAACTGGCATGCTCACGAGCTCCAGCGTTGGATCCTCTACAACCTGGAACTGATCAGACGGCAAGCACTGGAAGCACTTACATTTGCAGGGCTGCCAAACCAAACACACGCACACCCACACGCATACACGCAAGCAGGCACAGCGTTACCATGAGTGCAGCCCCAGCAACATCAGCGCGATCTGCAGCAAGCTTGGAACAGGCGCGCGAGTCTTTGGATGGGGCGGCGGCATCCCTTTGAGCAGGCTCTTTCTCATCATCCGCGTGAACCAACGTGCCTTTCAGTGACTTTACGCCCCGAGTAGAAAATTCCCAAGCAAGTTTGCCAGCCCCAGCACCTGCTTTGGTGAGCCATGCCCGGTGATAGGAAGCCACGGAACAAAACAGCTGCCTGTGCCCATTGGCAAGCTGCAGCGTCAACGATCCAGTGCAACAGCGCACCCCGCACGTGTTCGGCACCGGAGGATGATCCATGCTGCGTCACTGTTGTATCTGAGCCAACAGCACCTTTAACGGTAAAGAACATGCTGGGTTGGCTCCGTCTATTAAGCAACTTAACCAGGCACATCCTGCATACCAGCATGGCTTCAAAAAATGGTCACTGCCGGGTGCCTGCATATTCATCGCAGCCTCTTTGCAAGTGCCGTCAAATGAACACAAGCCCATGCGATGGCGCTTAAAGACGTTCCTCCAAACTGAAGGGGGGGTCTATCGAAAACCAGGCCCTGACAAGGGAACATCGCATCATACTCGAACACGTCCACGTGGCAGTGGCCTTTCCAAGTACCCCCTAGCCAGCTTGTCAATGGGACACGATCCAAAAACTGTCCCATTTGAAGAAGAGTATCGCTGCAATGCCCCATTAACCTGCTGCTCGCAGACAAACCGACAAGCAAACCGCGACACAAACACGAATTCCCGCATTGACACCGGCTCGCTGTGGAAGCACACACCTCTCAATGTGAGGATGACCGTTATCAAACCCAACCAAACACACACACACACACACTCATACACGGCAACCCAACTAGCAATCAAGTGCCTGCAAGCCACTAATCTCTTCCCCCTATTCATAAATACGCCCCCCCCCCTATTATAAATAAATCCTCCCAAAAATGTTTTTCTTTTTTAAATTGGGGTTTTTGGGGTTGGGTTTTTTGCTTTTCCAACAATGTGAGGGTTCACATAGGATTTGGAGGAAATGGATTGAATTGTAAGCTCCGCGAGTAAGCGGTTTAATAATTCATGCTGCGCTCGCAAGGTCTTTCAGTACAAGTCGGGTTGAAACAAAAACCCCGTGGCCAACCCTTAGATCCTTATGCCCTAGTATCCGGTCTGTATCGGTTTGCAGTGTTTTGGCAGCTCTAGCTCGAAAGTCGCGACTTTTGAGTACAACTGTAGTATACGAAGTACACTCTGGCAGCTCCAGTACGAAGTGCACTTTGGCAGCTCTGGCTCGAAAGTCGCAGCTTTTCAGCGCAAGTCAGTGTAGTATAGTGTAGTATACAAAGTACATGTGGGCAGCTCCAGCTCGGAAGTCGCAACTTTTCAGTACAAACGAAGTACACAAAGTGCATTTTGGCAGCTCCATGGAAGGCTCCAGGGCAGCTGGCTGGATTCGGCATGGCAGCTAATGAGTTGGGTATCGGTTGAGCATCGGTTTGGGTATCGGTTTGGGCCCTGCAAATGTCTGATTCCGCAATCTTGGTTTGCGACAACAGCTTGGACCTGATGTGTGTCTTGATGGCTTCCGGGGGTTTCGTTTTTTCCTCTGTATCTGTTTACAATGGTTTGGGCCTGCAAAACAAGGGACGGCCCCTTACATAACGAAAAGGCGCGGGGTTTTTATTTCAGTACGCGGGGCTTTTACTTCAGAATCGCAAATTGTAGTACAAATGTAGCGCGAAGGCCACTTTCTCAGCTCCAGCTCGTTGATCTGGAACTTTGCATACACAGATGTAGTACGCGAGATGTACGCGAGGTGCACTTTCGGAGGTCCAGCTTGAGAATCGTAACTTTTCGGTACAAGCGTGAAACATGTTTAAAGGCAAGCTAATAGTTTGAAAGAACATAACAGATCGCAGCTTCCGCGCCGCTTCCGCGGAGCTTCCGCGGCCTGCGTTTCACTTACTTACCAACATAACCACCGCCACTAGCCACTAAAAAACGAATACAACTATTTACGGAAAGCCTCATATATATATACACACACGTGAAACACATATACAAAAATACACGTACGTACAATGTAAATATATATATATATATGTATCATATCATGTCAAAACAAGAACAACACACCCCAAGAACCCTTGAGGCTCTCCTTGAACCCCCCAAACAGGTCCCCAGGCGCGCTCACCGCTCGAAACGCGGCCTCCAGCGCCACTTCCTTGGAGACCTCCTTCCCCGCGCCCAGGAGCTTGGCCGCCTGCGGCCCGGTTTTCGTTTTCGCGCGCTGGACGGTCGAGTCGAGGGGCCCTTCGACTGAAAAACCCGGGCGGGCCGTTTTTCCGGATCTGCTGGCCTAAACCGGATTCCCCAGGTTAGAGTTCCCCAAGTTTCGGCTGTCCTCATAACTTGTTGTGGGGTACATGGAAACGAACTAAGCCAACTAAACCAACCAAACCAACTAAACCAAGTAAAAATATTTAAAAAAAGACTAAGGGGACGGCTGGGAACCGCCAAGAAACAGGAACCCCATATACGTTGGGGTCCGGCCCGATTTTGACACGGAAAGAAGAAGGGTCCAAGTAATTTGGTTGTGGGATACTTTAAACTGATTCTAGGCCTGATTGTAGTGGGAAACTGCTTGTAAACGTCAGCAATTGCCAGTTACTGCATGTTGTGCAGAGGTTATGTCGGCAAACTAAATTCACCAACCTGTATTGAGAAGTGCAGTACCTGGGTGTGAGTTTTCATCACGGATCATTTGGTGGACATCATTAAGGTGCAGATTTTGAGGTGGTTCCCCATTCAAGATCACATCCAACCCAATTAAAGGGCTTTCATCACGGGGCGTGTTTTATTTCCAAGCCGATAACTAGCAAACAACTTTGCCAAATGTGGGAGGTTTGACTTGCTCTCAAGTGGCAGAAGTCCACGTGTTCTGGCGGGCGACTACTTTCAGTGAACATGTGGGGAACAAGCACACACAATGAGAATCCAGGATGAGTATTGCCCTGGTTGATTCATAGGGGGTATCCCAAGTATCTAGAGGGGGATCCCTAAGCATTTGGGGAAGGACAACAGATTTCATGTTGCAAGCCGCCCAACTGTTGATGGCTCGGAGCAAGCTTGACTGATATGGTACCCCTATGTGCTTTGATCAGGCTCGGAGCAACCCTGTTTCTGGAAGACACCAACCCCCAAGATGGTGGCCATGTATTTGGCGTCCTGTAGATTAAGTTGAAACGGTACCCTTATAAATATTACCCCCTCCAATAGCAAGGGATGTTGCTATAGAACCCCCAGACACCTTCTGGAGGAAAACGGTATCAGTATTCCATTAACATGTACATATACATGTGTGTTTTACCCGTTTGTAGATATTACCCGTTTGTAGATATCATTGATAATAATAATAATGACCAAAAAAAGGCGACAATCATAACTCCTTCGAGTAGAAGAGAATATAATACCAATAATTCGTGTATATATATACATATATATATATATATGTACAAAATAAATTACACCAGCATAGACCCCCAGATAGCAGTGCGTGCACACCAGTACCTCCAAGAGCACCCCCCCCCCCTGAAGAACGGCCCAAGCAAAACCCGGCCGTCAATCGAGCAAACATGCGGCCGCACCATCACCCTGAAGAACACCCCAAACAGCAACCCCCAAGACACCCAGCCGCCAATCTTGCGAAAATCAACCAGCACTCCAAACCACCTCTAAGCTGCATGCCCCCCTTGCACCCGACCGTAAACATGCGTCTGTCACCTGCATGCCCGATAGCACCCGAGCGTCAATATCGCAAAAATGCGCCCGCACCGTCACCAGCACCTCAAACAGCTCCCCACAAACTGCGTCCCACAGCACCATCAGCACCAGCACCCCAAACATTCCCCCTGCATCCTACCGTCAAGATGCAAAAATACGCACGCACCGTCACCCCCCCCAAAACAGCACCTGCACAAGCACTCCAAACAGCACGCACGCCCCCTGGCACCAGCCCATCAATCACTTTTCCCTCTTTATTAGAAGTTAGAACCCCTGTAGCTTTCAGCTATCTGGGGAAAAAAACGGTTTGCAGAATTCACGGGTACTTCCAGCGAATTTAGATATATTCGTATATCCCCCCTCCCCACCCAAAAAATAACACATATATATATATATATGGATGGGTGGATGGGTATATATATGTGTATATATATATATATGTATATATATGAGTGTTTTTTTGTACGTCTCCCGGCTTTGAGCCCACGCTTTGCGTTTCCCCGTCTTTCTCCCGCCTGGCACAGGGCCTCCTCCGCCGCGGCCTGGCGGTTCCGGCGCCGGGCGCAGAACTTGGCGAAGCCCAGCCACTCCTCGCCGAAGGAATTTTTAGAAACCAACAGGAGATTCAAAAGAAAGGGCTTCCCAAAGACGAAATGGTTCACAGAAAGGGGATAAACCCCTTGTATCACAGAGGTGGGGATAAACCCCGAGTGATCCCACAACCCTGAACTACAGGACATGTCCTGCTGGTTTCTATGAAAGCAGTTCAGCGCCGGGGGGAAACCGAAGGAAACCAAAGGAATCCAAGAGAAATGGCCCCAAATGGCCTCAAACATTTGCCCAAAATGGCCCAAATATGGGTATTAATATGTGTATATATATATATGTATGTATATACATGGAGAAAGAGAGAGAGCGAGAGAGAGAGAGAGCGAGATTCATGAAAGCAGGCGCTAACCACAGAAAACTCTTTGAGGCGCAAAGTGGGATGTGCGTCCTCCGGATCCTCGCGTAAGCTGAGGCCCTGGATGAGGAAGCGATTCCTTGCGGGAGCTCGACAGTCGTGGTGCGGAGGCACCCCGTTCGGATTTGGGCATCTCCAAAAAACCAAGGGACCACGTTGCAAAAAAAGGGGGTAGACTTAGACCCCATGTTACCCCCTGCAGACAAGTAGAACTAGTTGTTGGCTGGTTTTCAAGGGAAACCAATAGGAAATCACCCACTCCCCCCCCAGATTTTCTTTCGACACCATCATACTTGCCTCGTGTGACATTAAACTTGAAGGAACCGGCCATTTTGATGTAAATGTTCCAAGGGTGCCACTGAAGCCATGGCAATGGTTTCCCCCCGACCGCTTCATGTCCGGATTCCGGTAGCATTCCCAGGCGTGTGGCGTTTCCACCACCGGTGTGCCGAGGAAGAGTCGCACGGGTGTGTCTCGAAATGAGGGACCCCAAAAACTGGCTGGTTGGTTCGTTTGGGTTTGCTTCAAAAGCCGACAAAGAAGCGCGCTCCTTCTAAAGAAAACATGTCCAAATTGTGTGTTGGTAAATCGAGATCAGGGCTAACCTCGGGCCAAACACTTGAAGAATCGCGTGGCCGAATGCCTTTGGAGAAAATGACCCAGGAGGAAATGATGCAGTCGGATCCCGGCTGCAAGTGACTCTCACTGGTACAGATGCAATTGTGTTGCACTTAGTGAATAGCATGGCATGGTCTGGAAAGAGGCTTGAATCTCCGCTCCCTTGTGGCGTTCTGACGGGCCACCGAGCGCAGAAAGGCAGGCAAAAACCTTCTCGCGCAGCCGTCTGCGTGGTTGAACAGGAGTCTCCTATGTGATTGGCTCAAAACTTGGTATTGGTAATCCCTAAGCACGGCCAAGAACAGGTTCACGATGCTGAGACACGGCGACACATTCAACCGCCAAATCGTTTTGCACGTGCGGCTTCGGGGTTCCCATCTCAGAAGCCAGCCCTGCTAGGTGCCCTTTTCGGTGCGGTACATGTCCAACTATTGAACCAAATTGAAACCAGTGGAATCCATCTGCAGTCAAAACTGAACTGACAAAACATTGGCTCACATATCGTACATGAGGACCCCCCCTTTTCTGCTGTCAGCCAAACTGACCAAAAAGAAAAAACAAACAACGGCGCTTGTGAGCAAGCGCAAATGCGTTTTGTTCGACCCCTTTCACGTGCCGTCTGCGTCCCACCGAGCGGGATACTTTCTGCAAAGCGTCTGGAGAAGCTGCGCCGCACGGTCCCAATTTCCCACCAACTCGGCCTGCGAGCCGAGTAAAGGACAAGAGAAAACCGCGGAAAACCCATGAAACAAACGATGGAGCCAAGGTTTTTGGAGCGGGACACCCACGAAACCATAAGAAAACCCACGTGGAGGCTCGGTCGAAACTGAGTTCTTGGCTCTGATCAGAGCCCGGATCCAAGCTTTCTGTTGCCTTCTCAGATGCCCAGGATGCCGAGAAAAGCATGGAATCATACCTTGTTGGTCGGTTCACCATTTTTCGTGGGTCCCAAAACTGCCAGACAAAACTATGTTTTACGGACTCAAGTTGAGGGTCCACTTTCTACTGACCCAGTTGCTCCAAGGGCCTAGACATCAAAGACTGTTTGGGAGCTGTCAACAATCGCGCGGCCTAGCAATCCCCGGATGAACATGTGTTCGCCACCCGGGTAGCCTGGGCAAAAAAGAACGTAACGCCCCAACACATGTACATGAGAACAGGGCGTAACAGGGCTGTGGGAATTGCCACCACTTCTTGTGACAAGATACTGGTGGAAGGCCTTCCAAATGACACGCTCTTTACAAGGGGAAGTTCCGTGGTATCACAGAAGTGGGAACCAACCCCTCATTCCCGCCACCCTGTCGTAAAATATCCTGTTGGTGGACTGGATGGCCTCTGTAGGCACACCCCCATCTATCACCGTTGTTGCTCGGCATGTCCATTTAAGAGTAGGACCCAGAACCCAAATGACCTGAGACTCTGCACCCAAAACAAAATACTTACTTTAAACGGTCCAAATGTTGGTCGTTGGTCCAATCTAAGATCTTGGTAATTCCCCAAAGCATCGCGAAGGGTTCTTTAGGACCTGGAGCGGAATACACCAGCAAATAGCACAATCAAGCAGCAGTAGCAAGTAGCACTAGTGAGTTGCGCTGGTAAGTTGCATTGGGCAAGTAGGACCAGTACGCGAAGTACACTTTCGCAGGTCCGGATCGACAATTGTACTCGCGTCGAAAGGTTGCTGTGTTGGGGTCAGCGCTGCACGCAGAGAACTTGCTGAGAGGAATTGCCCATAGAAACTTGTTCAGAGAAACTTGCTGAGAGATTTTGGCAGAGCCGCTGTCGCAGAAAGTGGCTCAGGTAACTTGCGCAAGAAGTTGCTCGGACCCGGATCTGCATTGAGTTGCTCAGGGACGTTGTGCTAGGAAGTTGCGTGGGCAAGCCGCCAGCAAGTAGCACTAGCACATCGACAGCACTAGGAAGTTGCGTCATCAAGCGGCACTGTCGAGTGTTCACATGGACCAAGATGGGACACGCTTAATGTTACAAAGCCACAAAAACAAGAGCGCCAACCGCCGCCGAGACTTCTCTGGGCAGAGAGGTTATTCTAGGGGTACCTTCCCCATTCTTTCCAGGGATCCTTCTTTCTAGAAAACCTCCGGAAACCAAGGGAAAACGGCCGGTTTTTGAAAAGAAATGGGGAATCAACCCCTAGAGTTATGGCTTCCAGCCGGGGAAGCCAAACAAAAAGGCCAACACAAGGTGCCCCGATCCAACTTCCCCTTTCGCCTCATAGGCCAGGCGCGAGCAGCGCTGCGCCTGGAGCCTCGCAGCGCCGAAGGCCTGCGCCAAGGGCGGATCTTTTCGCCGGGGATTTTTCTTGCACCTTGCTGGTTTTGCCGTGTGTTGTTTTTTTTTGCTTTTGTTTGCCGGTGTTGCCGTTTTTCGTTGGTTTTGTAGGGCAAGAACGAGTTTCGCGTGTTTTCGCCGTCTTTCGTTGGTTGTGTGGGGACCATTGTTGACATTTCGGATTTTGCGGGTGTTGTTTTGTTGACTGGTGTTAAAGGAGCAAGAGGGAAACCGAAGGTCAAACAAGGTCCCCTCAAAAAAAACACCCATCTGGAGCTCGCACCCCCCCCCCCCCCCCACTCACCCAATCGCAACCCCCAACCCCCCACCCCCCACCCATCGACCACAAACAAATCATAACAGAATTGGGGCTGATTTCACATCATCTCGTGTTCATGACTTAGCTATGGTTTTAACGTCGCCCACCCCATTCCAATTTGGGCACTGTTCTGAGCGCCGCGCAGACTCGCCGGTGGCATCAGGCCTCGTGAGCGGCGGTGGCGATAACTCGGTTCCTCGATTCGCTTTCCTTGAAATCCAGTACACACCCGTAGACAAAGATTAAAGTGAAGGCTCTTCAAGAACCTTCTAAACGGGGTTGCCAGGGGTTACAAACGTGTCACCCAAAAAAGAATCCATTCCCGTGTGCGAACAACCTGCGGCTTTTTACATTGGTTCACAGCAGGGAATGAGGGAATGACCCCTATAAACCATCCCTTGTGGTTTCTTTAAGGGGACCTCTGGGTTCATTTCCAAAACCCTAGGTCATTCCTTACTAAGAACCAGCAACTTACACCTTTTCCGGACAGCAAGTTGCAGAATGCAGGAGGTCAGGATCTTAGTGGCCCGTGCTGTGATCCACCAAGCTTGGCCCAAATCCGGTTTGTCAATTGAGCAGTGACAAACAAATCCATCGACTTTTGGCTCCACTAATATGGTTGTACAGGTTTATACAGGTTTACTACAACCTCAAGTAAACCAGGTAGTGGAACCACCTACTAACATGATGGCCAATAGGGGCTTTGGGGTTTTGGGCGCTGCCAAATTGAGTCGTTGAGTTGCCGTCTTTTTTGTGCCATAGTCAAATAGACAAATTCCTTCAGGGGTCCACTATCATGGTGCCCTTAGCAGGAACATTTACGTTGTCGTCGAAAATCCCACTGTTGCGCGCTATTGAGAGGTTGATGACCATCCCTACACCCCACATAAGAGTGTTGGCTTGACTCCATGGCGCATATGGGTGGCCTTTGAGAGCATGGGTTTGACACGGAAACCAAATTACTCGCATTTGGAGAAGCTGCGGACACCGCCCAGGAGTCATACAATTGAAGATCCAAATCCCCATTTAGTCAAAACACCCCAAATCCCACTTGCGGAGTCTGTTGCGATTTGTTCATATCCCGAAGATCCGGGGGCCCCAGCCGCATCTTCTTGTCCAGCAGCTTCGCGGCGGAGAGTTGCAAGTACGCGTACCTGACTGGCTGACTCGGTCGTAGCTGAGCTCAAAAAAGTTGAAGTCTAAAGATGCAACCATGTAGCAATCAAGATGGGATAACTCTTAGGAAACAAACCTGCACTTCTGCAGGTTCCCTATCCCCCCCTGCCGACGTTGCAGTCGAATCGGAGGCTTCGCTTTGAGGAAAATTGTCATACACCATCAGTCAGGTTCCACGGTGGTGGATGAGAGGATGTCTCTCCTTGAAACACTCTTCCGAAAGGAATCTACTTTCATTTGGTTCGGAAAGAAATGTTTAGTACACTGGGAATATATATATATATATATGTATATATATATATATTGCAAACCCTCTCCTCTGGTGTAGCCAGCCTTTGGAAACTAGGTGGCGCTGAATAATGAGTACCAAACTGAATGAACTACAGTAGGCAGCTATCTTCTCTGGTCCCATTCAATACAAGTGAGCTGTGATGAACAGCTGCTTTTTATGAGCCGCCTTTTTGTACTGTTGCCCCTTGATTTCCGGAATTCCAAGGGGAAACACCCCTTTGGGGCATGGCTGGGAACCCCATGGGTATCATTGTTCGCTCGGTACCGCTTTTTGAGGATTGAATGGAAACCTTATAGCAATATGTCATATGGCTATGAATCTTCATCTGGAACCATCTCAACAGCGCTTGGTGGACATGAAGCCCCACCAAAATGAGGTCCAAAGGATGAGAAAACCCTGCGCCACAGTGCGGGGCGGCATGCAAGTCTCGGCCGGCGCGCACGTGTTGGAGACGAAGTCCTCTCGTGCCTGGCCTGTCAAAGGCTTCCCTGGCACCGCGGAACTCTCCTGGCGAGCTGGGAATTCTCGCTCACCGAGGCTCAGGCTGGGGATCCAAGGCTGGTATGCCTAGCTGATTACTTGCAAGCTTTTCGGCCTGGGCCTAGCTTCCAGGCCGACGTATCCAACTGGCTTTCGGATCCTATGGTGAACCCAAAATGTGTCCACCAGAACGTTTCTCAAGCGGCCCAATTCCGCCGGACTCTCCCCAAACATAGCAAGAAATCTCAGCTTCGGCCGGGAACTTCCCTGGTGCGATAGCCAGGGGACGGAATCACCGAGCCCGGGTGTTGGGAATGAACCGTTTTGGGGAGTCCCGAAAAAAAGGACTCCCCAAATCGGGAAGCGGTTTTTCTTGGGGTCATGTTTCGGGAATGACCATGACCCGACGAACCGAGGAAAAAGAATTCGAAGCCATCCCTGGATTCCTTTCCGTTTGGATCCCCGAAGATTCCGGTTCGCTGCAAGCCTTTGGAGCTCCACGTGTTCGAAGGCATCAGCTTCTTCATTTCAATCGGCGTGAGAAGGCATGCAACAGTTTATCACACGTATGGGCTTGGCGTCCCTGAAAAAAACAAGCCCAAAACGGGGTACCCAACCTCAAAACAAGGAGCCACACCCAGTTCTGTCTGCTGTTTTCGTTGCCCCCAGCTTCCAAGGGCCTCCGCTTGGCACCCTGTCAAAGGCAGGCGTGGTTCTATGTGTCCTATTTGTCCAACCCAACATCCCAAGGAAACTCAGCAAATGGATTGACCTTCTATTGAGAGATTCCATAAATGCTAAACGTAGTGTCAACGTGCCACAGCATCTACCCCAAAGGAAAGTCACACAATGCAGTGAATTTTCCAAGAACCTCCCCTCTTGAGTTGGGAAATCGAGTTGTTCAGTGTAGCGTGGTCTCACTGAAAGACTTGAAGCCGAAACTCAGCACACTTGGGTGACCATAAATGGATTCTGGGAGATTAGCTCTTGCCGCATGCTACACGCATGATTGTCCTGTGCAAGCGATCGGAGCCCGAAAAAGCTAGAACCGCATCATTCAACAGAACTGGACGCTTGGCACCGGGAACGTGGAGTTGGGCCCCTGGGAAGACCAAAGAACATGGCTGAAAGGCCTCAGTGTATGGACCCTGGGTTTGTCTTAAAATCAGGTGCCCCCAAATGGCTGGCTCCCCCCCTTTTCAGCTGGCCGGCAAGTCAGAAAAGCCGTTGCATTTTTCAGCCGGGGAAAATGTTGTCCACTTTATTGACAGCGTGTTTTCGGTGACCACCCTCATTCTATGCAACGTTCTCCATGGAACCCCAAAGGATGTTCAGAATGTGTTCGATGTTTTAAAGAAAACCAACAGGATGTCAACCATTTTAGGCGGCCACTATGTTGAGACATGAATCCTAGGATTCACCACTTCCCAACCTTGCAAAGTGGTCTGATTCCCCACTAAACCCGGGGACACAACTGGGACTGATTAATATGGGATCAACATTCTATTTGACTCAACACAAATCTACCCATGCAGTAGGGACGTCATGCGCCCTGCCTTGCGGAGCCGCTCGCGAAAGATGCAGATCTCAGGGTCAAGCGAAAGGCGCCCGGTTGGGGTCCGGAAGGAAGTGGTGGGTGGATTTGGGGTGGGTTTAAGGCGGGTTTACGGTGAGTATAGGATGGGTTTAGGGTGGGTTTGGGGGGGATTGTTCTCCAATCATGGAAGCCGACAGGATGGGAAGACGTCCCTTTTGGGTCCGCGGTTGGAACAAGCCCAGGATAAAAAAACGGGAGTTCCCCAAGAAGACGGTTCCTCAAATGAGGTTTTCTGGCCAGTCCGTTTCTTTCCAAAGGATCCATAGGCGGTCTGTGGAATTTCTAAAGGAACTTCCAGGGCAAAATCCTCGGTGCGGTCGAAGCGTGTCACAATAAGTTCCTTAGATCTCCTCGCGAATCGCATGGTGCATAGTGATAGTGCGATTCTCCAAAGGGTACCATGGCGAACTTCGGACCAGTCAAGGGACAGTGTACGAGCGGCTTCGCCAGCCTTCAGCATCCAAACGCATGGGACGCGGAGCCACATCCCAAGCCCAAAACCGTTGGTGAAACCATGTGACACCAAGAGGTAAACGGCAGACGGGGGGGGGATACAGCGGTCGTTTGCAGTGAGACTTCCACATCACTGATGGAACATGCACAAAGAAAGGCCGAATAAGCAATGAATGTCATAGGGCTGTCGCCAGACCGTACAGACCCCCTTCCCATCATTTTCTGGGCCAGGTAGATAAAGGGAGTCTGTGTGAATGGGGTGTGTGTCTATGCAGGCGTATTGCGGCCGGCGAGTTCTCGTGGGCTGAAACCCAACAGGCTGTGGGCAAGGCCACCCCTGCTTCCTTGCTGGTGATTTAGTTGACTTTCAAGTGGGGCTCCTTTGTTCGACTTTTGGATTGAAACCACCGCCCAGTGCTTCATAGCAGTAGGCAACCAGAGAGTAAAGTGGCCAGTAGTAGGTTACTAGAGGACACCAACGTATAAAACCTAGACAGAGGTACTAAGTCCAGGTCAACCAAACCCCTCATTTCCCTTAGAAGCACCGGGCAGGTTCGACTTGCGAGTTCGGCCGGGCGGCGATGGACTCGCGCAGGCTCTGCTTCACGTCCTCATAGCTTCCTACCTGGAAAAATCGGGGGGGGGGGGGGGGCAACAGGCGGTCTGGGCGGGCGGTTTGGGCGGTTTCGGCAGTTTTCGATGGTTTGGGTGGCTAGATTTGGAAGGTGTGCGAGCTCTGGGAGACTGTGAAGGAGAGTAGGCAAAGGTTCGGTCAATCTTGCGTCGACCCACGCACGTCATGCTTGATTCTCAACTTGCGCTTGGCAAAAAGTGGGGGAGGGGGGCGTAGTTAAAAGGAGCTCCCTCCAAAAATAGCTGTTTGTTTCTTGCTGGCGCTCAGCAGGGCATGTGGGAATGAACCCCCTGGGGATTCCCTGAAAGGAAACCATAGGGTTTTTCCGGGGGTCAGACTCCATTTCGAGCAGTCCCTGCATCTCTCGCACCGGCTTTGGATTTTTCTTTGGAAAGGAAGCCAAACGTTTCCATTCATCTTTCAGCTCCCAGTCCTGCCGATCCACACGCAGACACAGTACCGAAAAGGTGCTCGGCCAAAAACCGCAGCCAACATATAGGATAAGGAGAACAAACAAATATTTGCCAGTGGACTGCATAGGTACCTATGGGAAATACGCAGTTGGGCCCTTGAACATCTTGAACTGCTGGTCGTATCATCACGCTTCGCATAGGATAAGGGAACCCTTTAAGCGGCAGTCAAAAAATATATCGGCTCCCCCGAGTGGACAATTTCGTGAGCCCCCTGGCTTTTGTGGCCGTACACGGGTAATAATAACCGAACCTCGACAGGAGCCGCCTCCTTCAGTTGCTCCACGGCAGCCTCCCTCGGCGTGTCAGAAAGTTAGGAAGGGTCCGCTTGGGATGCCCTATGGTTGGTTTCCTTGTGGCGTGCCTTTAAATACCTGCAAGACGGTCAAAGCACCGGTTTGAGAAACTCTAATTTCTAGTTGGGCATGGGTAAAACAAGTAACGAGCCCTTTGTCTGCTTGACCATTTTTGGTGGGGTCCTGGTGGAAAAGGGAACCCTTGACGGGCTTGGCCATTTTGGTGGGGATGCCACAGAAAAATGGAAAAGGGCGCCACTGAACATCTCGAACTAAGTACCCTCGTTCCAGCAATCGCGGAAGTGGTCAGGGCCCAGTTTTCCATGGTCCTTCTTCTTTGCACCTCATGATTGTTGAACCCAGGCTAACCCCTATGTTCAATTTTGCCTCTCAAGTTTCGGAAGCAGCCCTGATTCGGAGTCATGACAATTGAAGCACAGCAATTTCACGCGGTTGAAACACAGATGTTCCTGGAGTATTTCTCATGGCCCTTGTAAGCTGCGGATGTCCCGCGTACCATCCCACGCGCCATCTACCTCTGGTTGGCCATGCCCTCTAGGAATCCGATTGACGCAAAGCAGCGCGGCTTTGGCTCCGCGGGGCTTTGAGCAAATGTCTTCATCCTCACGAGTGCTTCGCCGGTTTCCAGAAATCAATCGCGCACCGCCTCACAATACGCGGGCATTCGGGTGTGGGTCAAAACTAATGGTACCATTTTGGGGTAGGTGAATTCACCACCCATTAGTCTATTGTAGTGGGGATTGCGATGTTCACTGGGGGCTAACCGATTTGGCTTTTAACCCATGGCCATTCATTGATCCAAATGGAGAAGCAGGATGAGCTGACGCCTCCGGCACCCACGCCCTCTGAGCCTCGGGCACACTGCACTTCCCCAGACAGTCCTGCATAATGACCTGGGACTTGCCCCACCCGTTGTTGGTCGAAGTGAAAGGGAACCCTTGGGGCTTGACGGATCTTTTTTTGCCGTGACGGATCGGGTGGTTATGGAGGTCAGCGTTGTGGGCTTGACTTCAGTTGTGGCTTGCTGGTTCTTATGTTGCCTATGACTTTGTCAACGTTTCAGTAAGTGGCGTTCCTCGCATCCTGGCGCTACCACAAAGCTACAGGGAGGAGGGTGCAGTTTGGCGTGACGCCCGTTTGGCTTTTATTAGGCGCGAGGAGGCTGGCAACGCAGGTTCGCAACTGTGACGTCAGTGTTGGAAAATTATATGTTGTGATGCCTTCATTGCTCATGCATGAAGGTGTGGTTTTCTTTCTTGATGTCGCGGTGATATTGGTGGTATCCTACGAGGACGTGCTCATAAAGTACGCAGTTGGGGAGCGATTTGTGCGTATGCGGTATTGGACAGTTTGTGGTAGTGCATCCGTTCACTGCCCAGACTACGCCATGTCCATTGTGTACACGTGGTACTGGACACTTTACTACCTGGGGTTGTTCAAGTGCTTCGAGGCAAGTGGTTCAATTATGCGCAACTTATACTGGCTCTGCTTCAGGTCCGATATGGTTGGATCATGGTACTTCAGCGTACACGGGCACTATGCAGTACACCCGGCCTGTCGTCTGTGGCCTTTTCTGGTACGCAGCCGCTCATGTGGCACAACGACCGCGCAAGCGGAGAAGTGAATCTTGCGGGCAATTTCATATGCTCGACTTTGTGCAAACGATCTGCCGGGGTTCGTTTCTCGTTTGTTCTGTGACTTTTCGGGTGACGGGTTCTCAGGCATTGGACCGCATATGTGGCCGGGTTCACGACATTTTCCGGCGCAAACATGTTGCCGGTGTCAATGAAAGGGCTGCCCAGACCTCATTGTGGGTTAGCGGATTGCGTTTTGTTAGCGTGCAGCACAGGTTCTGCAGACATGATTTTTGGCGGTCTTTCCTGCGCAATGTCAGAATGGACTGCTGGCCAGTCCGAATCCATGGGAAAGCCCCTGCATAGAAACCCCCTTTCCTAGCCCAAGGATCTTTCAGACTGCATTTGACGCCCAAGCCCCAGGGGCCATGTCAAAACCGGCCCAAATGTTTGTTTTTTGTTGTTGATTGCTTAAGTTAAAAACAAAGAAGGGACCGTCGATGCCAACCACACAGGAGAGCTGCCTTCGCATTTCCTTCCATCCGAGCGGGTCGCTCAGACCCTCGATCCGCACTGGGCGGCCACGTAGGCCTCCCAATCTGCTTCGGTCGCGGTGCCTATGGCCTGCAAACGCGCACGTCCTCAAAGAGTCCAATTCCACCAGTCATGATTGAGCTGCCGCAGGATCGCCTGAAAAAGGTTCCAACACTGACCCGAGCTGAACCCCGGATTCTTGTAGAGGGTAAATGAGAAACCACCGCTGGGAAGCTGAACCCTGGCACGTGGCATAAAAACCGCTCTATAGCAGTGAAACCCATCTATTTCAAACCAAACTAACCGATCAAAAGGGGACACCCATGCCCCCAAGTCCCTGAACCATAGACTGGAAGGTGCCGAGACATGTTCGCAGTACCCCATATTCCAATTGAACCGCGTCACTCAGCTAACTCCAAGCCCAGCCCAAATCCATTCTAAACTAAACCAACCCTTAACCTTCAACCCACAACTCAACCCCCAAAAGAGGAAAAGTGCTGTTTCAGGCTACCCCCCTCCTTCCTTCTTGTTTGGGGGGGGGGCTTCACCAGGAAATGCAAAGGGAAACCACCCACTTCTTGAGGGTTCCCCTAGACAAACCCACCATACCAACCAAAAACATGGGACGTCGGGGCCGAGGCTTCGCAGCCCTTGACGATGGCCTCCCGAAGCGAGCGCGGTGATGTGCTGACCCAATGCTTCTCCGTTGTACAAGGCGTGCCTTAAAAATAGGGGGCCCCCAAACGGCAAGGGTCCGGGTTTCTGTTGGTTCCCATTGAAATAAGAAAAGAAACACAAAACACTCCCAAGTGGGGCATCCTCAAGAAAGACAGACACGGTCCGGCCCGAACATCAGCCTGTTTTTGGGACTTTGGAGCCCCCAACCTGTTGCCTGAACCCTGCAACCCGTTTGCTGGATCATCCGACCTGGGGGTATGTACAGTCAGCAATAGCAGGTGGGTTGGAAAAACATCCTGTGCACGGGTTGGTTGGTTGCACAAGGTGGCCTTATCCAGCCCTTGTCCCCTAAGGGAAACCAATGCTTTACAGCATAGTCAACATCTGCATGAAGCCGCGTCTTGGAGTTGGCGCCCTTTGGTCGTGGTTTAAGCCGGAAACCTTAAGGACACCGCTTCATCTTGGTTTGCCTGAACCCCAACCCTTTGTTCCCCGAGCCCAACCAAACGGATACCCGGTGTGCTCCTGAAATCAAAAGGACACGCAGGCGTTGAATCAGGACACCCGAAAATTTAAGTCCCTGCAAACCTCACCGAGGGAAACGCAACCATCGGCGACCCAAAGGTGACAAGTTGATTCTGCGCAAAAAGGGAAGCAGGCAAATACCAAATGCCCGATATGAGCACCGGGACCACCCCAAATCGCGACCCATCAATCCGCAAAACCAAGAGCGGCTGAAGCAAAACTGATGCTCTGGGAACACTGTGCATGCTCACAAACAGGTCATGGTCCAAGCTCTTTGGGCCATGGTCGTTCCCTGCCTCGCGTTAGTCGATGCGAAGCCCGCGTTGCCCCAAATGTCGCTAAGGGGCCGAGCCTACCTCGCAATCCGAGCAATAATCTCATCATCGAAAGGACATTGTGGCAATTCTTGTTGGAATAGAGTTTGGACTAAGCATAGGAGGCAGAGTCAAACGTCGCTTCGCTTTCTGCCAGAATGCTCACAGGCAATGCCTGAGGGACTGAAGCATCCCAAGTCCCAAGTAGCCTAAAGGTGCCTGATGGTTCCCTTGCTAGGCCCCTTATGGTGGTCTAAGAACCGAAAAAGGTTGATGCCCATCTTTCCCAACCCCAAATAAACATGTCTTTTCGCTATGGCATATATACAGAGTCACTTGGCGTGGGAAAAAGGGAGCAGTCCCATGTCCCTTTCCCATCATAATAAGCCATAGGATTGAACTTGCAAAAGCGTTTTCCCAACCCCACACCCCCACCACAAAAAACTAGCTCCATTCTTTTACACCAAAGTAATGAAGTTCAAGCGAGAAAGAAGAAAAAAACAAGGCCGGCCAGTTCCCGACTTCGACAACCCCCTCCCCTAAAGACCCTCTCAAAACGGGCAAAAAGGGGAAGTCGCAAGTCGCAACGCCCTGGAGGCCCGCGGTTTTCAATGGCCTCCTGGTAGAGGCTCGCCGACTCCTCCGAGGATGGGAACTTGGATGGCTCCCGGGCAGGCAGCAGCTTCTGCGCCGGCACCTGCCAGCCATGGAACTGTTTGTTTTGACCTATGAGACCGGGTCTGGTGTATATATAT